TGTACAGCCAGAACCAGTATGCACCAGTATGTAGTGGTGACAGGAGAAGGAATAGAGACCCATCTCATCTCCCTGACCTTCCTGCTTAAACTAAGTGTGCCCTTACTAACAAAGGGTGTGTTCACATCTCTTGCTACAAACAGACACGAGAAAATGCTGACTGTATTTCTGACCTAGCTGGAAACAGGGGTCACACCTATCTGAGTAAATTAAAGAGTGCCCAGGAGCACTCCCAGGCAATAGAGCTGGATTGTCCCCTCTGCTCAGGGTGGGAGGGTGCTCCTGATGCGCTTAAGTCCTGGGGCAGCTTCACCACAGAGTCCCCAGCACCCCAAGACAGTGCTGCAGGGACATCTCCCAGGGGTGCAGCTGCCCTGGGGACACTGTTTTGGAGACTGAGAGAGTCATCCCTCAGGCTCATTTCACACTACAGTATTCCTGAGCATGTTTAATTTAGTAGAGTAACTTTGGCCAAAGTCAGCTCTGAACCAGAACTCATGTAGCTGCACTTAGGCAGTGCTTGAGCCCAAGCTAATAAAACCTGCTGAGGGGCAGGATATATTAGCTCGGGTTCAGTGCTGTGCTAACATGGCTATATGGCTTCCAGATGGCTCACAATTTAGGCAGAGCTATTGCTTGCCAAGGTCCATGCATATATCAATATAAATATATATGTTCTAAATTCCCCCACTGTAAGGACACTAATGAAGGTAAACTCACTTCTGATATTTTGCCTTGCAAACACCAGATCCACAAATAGACTTAAATGTAAAAACACGGCAGCATCCTTCATCCTCCTCCTACCTGATGGCTACCTTGGTCATGTAAGTTAGTGCCAAGGTTGACTGGGGCCAACCTTGGGATGAGATTGACAACATTCAGTGTGGTAAAGGTGAGACTAAGGCAACTGGAAAGTATGCAGCCAACTACCTGAAGAAGCCAGGGTACTGTCACAGGTTGCTATGTGTTGAAAGTGAGCCAGCCACCCTATACAACATAAAGAATGTGGCCATGTTGTCTCTCTGAAGGCTTTGTAGGAGCAAGGGACCTTGGAAGGCACAAGCTGAAAGGAGGAGAGGCTAAAAAAGAGACAGTGGGTCTCTTAATGTCTCCCTTATCATCACTGGAGAAAGACCTCACCAATACTTCCTGCAGGATGTAGGACTAGGAGCCAAACCTCCTTCCAGGGGACACATCAGACTGTACCCAAGTCTGTGCTGGAGAGACAATTTGCCTTCCCTAGGCTTCGCTTGGATCAAGAAACCTATTTCTTTCAAGGCTTCCCTTTGCTTTGAGGAAAAACAATATATAAAAAAAAAATATACCTGAAGTAAAAGTCAGAGTTGGGGAGTTGAGGATTCTTGCTGTCTGACCACCTCAAACAGCAGGAAAACCCAAATAAATCTTCCGTAGGACTACTTGGTACCAGAAATCACCTTATTCAGCTTGGGCTTTTCAAAGTTACCACCAGTGTCTTCCCTTTTGATGTGCAGGCAAATGGAAAACACTAAGAGGGCAAATAATCTAAGAAAGAGCACAGAACTACGTGGCTGTGGGGGCTATCCAGGATCTTGTATTGACAGCTGTGTATTTGGAGCCCGTTTTATTTTGTGAATCATCAATAGTCACCATTACACATTATCTTCTCCTATTTTCTGTAGACAATGCTAGGTTCTTTCTCTCTCTCAGCAATGATATAAACAGCAAAAGAAATAATATCGCAGCTATTTATCCTCCTCCAGTACAAGTGATGTTCAAACTTTTGCTAACTTCCAATTATAAAGATGTTAAATGTTAACACAAAGGTGCTGATTCACTGGAACATGTTTTAAGTCTTAGGCGACATATGGTATATATACAGGAAAAACGTTGCATGGAGCTTTTTGACTTTTTTTCTGCATCTGCATTGATTTTATGCTGCAGTTCATCTAACACACACATTTCCATCAGTGTGAAAATGATCACCTCTCATTTTAAACACCACGGAGAGTTTTGGTGTCAAAAGGAGGGAATTGGCCAAAAGGGGATGCTGCAGAATGTTGAGGAAACATTAAAAAAGAGAATTTAAAAAAAAACCCTGATCCTTAATTTACCAGAGCCCCAGGGAAACAGTGCGTTATATGTTGACAGCTTCCATATGTGTCATGCAAACCTTTATTCTTACTGCTCAAAATAAAACGTCCCATTAAGAGAAAAAGTCTACATTTCATGCTAAAATGAGATGTATGATACCAAATACTGTCTTAAAGAAAAACGAAAACACATTCCGATGTCATGTGGCTTTTTGTACTTTTCCAGCCTTTTCAAAGGCAGAAAAATACGAATTACAACAACCAGACATTCTTCCAAAGTTGTTTTTATCACTCTGTTATATTAAATAGCTACAATTCTTTTTTTTTTTTATTCCTCATGTAGACATCATTATTTGTGTACTATCTTCAGGGATCACCAAAGAAATGTATCTATGCAAGTAATTGCCTAAAATGTCACTGAAAGATAACTGTAAGAAAGATTACTGTTAATAGCAATGATAACAGTATAGTAGCACCCTGGAGTCTCAGTAATTATTGGCATCCTGTTTTAAAGGTGCTGTGTGAATAAATCTAAAAATTACTACATATTGACTGACTTGATTATCCAGAGCCTAAGTGCAGCAACTGAACACCTCAAACAGGGATCCTCTGACTAACAGAACCCTACTTAGTTTAATGATCTGTTGCAATAAAAAGTTTAATGGATCAACTCTTATTGTAAATATCTCTCCAGTTATGGGAGCAGAACTCTTCTACCTCCCATAGACTCAAGGGACAGCTGGAATCATGAAGAAAGGCACTTCAGACCTGCACAGCCTAAAGTTGACTCGAGACAAGGGAAAGTTTTTAGGTTGTTTTGAACCAGTCTCTGAGTTTTCCTGGAAAACTGGTTGGAGGGAAGGTGACTGGGTTTCTCTGGGTTACAAACTGAGTCCACTACATACTGAGTCATGTATAAAAATGTATGTTCCATGTGTACACAAATGTGTCATTCAACTGCTGGTGCTTCTAATAGCTTCCAGAAGTAACAGAAACCCAATAAAAATAATCAAAGCCTTAAGAGCAAAATTGTAAGAGCACGAAAGGATGATTTTCCTTATGCTAAACTGAAGGGGTATAGCATAGGTCTTCCCTACAATTTTGAAAACTTTAGTCCCTAGAAGGGGACTCTTCTTGCATGAATAAACTGAAAACCAAACAGAAAATGAGGGAAAAGGGGAATTCCCTCCTTACCCAAGCAGCTGTGTTGAGAAATTCAAATAAGTGAGGTGCAGAAGGTAAAGCTGCTTGTGGCTTTGGAATTCAAAATAGAAAATTACCTATCATGCTTCTGATCTTGGGAGTAGGACAGGGGAAATATTTACATAAACTGTTCTTTGACAATTTCTTCAGTGTATTAACCTAAAGGTTTCCTTTTATCCACACAAACTTCCCTGCTGTTTACTAAATGGCTATAATTTTGAGGCTAGAACCAGCAAATTGCTGGTTCCAGGGTTTCTTAATGAATGCCTTTCACAGATGTTTAATTTTCAAGAATTTCTGTATTTTAATCTCCTGGAAAAAAAGTCAAAGATGGAGTTTACTCTGGAGCAGTAAAGTTGGCCAGAAGCCAGTCCACGTAATTTGGATGCCTGATGGAGGTGTCACCTCTCCAGAATTTTGAGGGCTTAAAAATGGCCTCACAAAACCAGGCTGCTTAACAGAGTCGCTCCCCATAGAGCCCAATCTCAGGTGTGGTGCCTTTGAGGGCTGGTTGAATGTAGGAACAACGTGGCCTACTTTGCATTGCTGCCTCCCTTTTCCACTGACTGTACTCTGACTGTATAGGGAACAGTAGGTGAAGAGTTTGTCTGCTCTGGTTCAAGCCTTTTTTAAGCATCATGCCTAAAGGACAGTTTTTGCATAACTCCCCAGTAGCTGGAGCACTTGCTGAAAAGGTATGAGAGGCTTTGTTCACAACCCAGCTGAGCCTGAGGGGGAATTCAGATCAAAAACAATGAAAAAATGTAGTCAGAACAAAGGAAGAAGAAAAAAAATATTAATCCTTACACCAGGGTTTCTTCTGCTACTTATTAACATTATGTCACCTAAGGTTTAGATTAACTGGCATCATAGAGTCTTTGGCCTCTGACATAAAAAGCTTTTTGACAATAAAGAGCTAAATCTGAAAGTTTGCTTGTAAAGTAGTATAGATTAAGTGAACCATCACAGAAAAAAAAAAAAAAAGTATCTAAGTCTCTTTTTATTAGTTTCTAAAGAAGTCTACATAAAGAACATTTCTTTTAAAAATATTATTTTGCACTGAGGTGCATTTTCACTTTTCAATGAAGACTATAACATGTGAATAATGTAGTAGCTCAATAAATTTGTACTAAAAACCCCAGATCTCTGACTTTAGTTTTGATAGTGTTCTTTCCAGTTCAGCTAATAAGAATTTCAAGATTTAAAATTTTTAACCCATTTCAAGATAAAAAGTTTTGAAAAGAATTTTTCTTTTGCAAATTTGAGAATACCAATTCCCATATTACCCTATTGTTAACCTTTTTCCAGCGTAAGTACGAGTATCTATAAGAAACCTCCTGAACTGTTCTGAGGCATTTTTATACTTTTCTCCATGCTTCAGCCCTGAAAGTTCTTTAGAAACTTTCTAAAACAAAAATTCCACAAATCTGCTTGAGTTACCTAAATGTAATCATTCAGAATGTTAAAATGGAACTTCATTTTGTATGCAGGAACTTTTATCCCAAACTTCATTTAGTTTAACTTGATTCAGTTAGCTTTATAATCACCATATTCTACAGAATTAAGAATGTTTGCAGACTGTAACTACAGCAAGATGAGACTTGTATTCTTTGCTTATAAACTCCCTGTCACCTGGTCAAGTTAAAAAACACCCATCCAGAAAAGACTCCTAGCAAGAGGTGACAAGAGACCGTGTTGTGTTGTGATCTACAGCCATGATCTTACCGTCCCCAGTTTCAGCGCAGAGTTGCAAGCCCAGATTGTTCTCTGGATTAATCACCCAGTGATTGCTGGTCATGGTAATGTCAAATGCAAACCAGCCCACATCAGAAGCTTGAGCCTTTCTTGTGTCTAGCAGGAACAAGTCTGCATCCCTAAGTTAAAGAAAATAGAGAGTTAAGGCATTTAAATATTATTATTTTTTGTCCTTAATTTCCTCGCTGACAATGACTTCCTGGAGTCCAAATGAATAATCCTTTGACATATCCTCACTGCAACACAGTACAGCATGTGCTGTAGCTAACATGTAATTAAGTATAATGCAGGTATTTTCTCTGAGAGGCCTTTCTGAAATGAGTCTCAGCATGTAAAAACTACAGCTCTGGAAAATCTGAAACATCCAGCTTCCTGATATAAATACACAAAATATGTAATTGAGGCTGTGTATAAAGGATTCATCTTTCAGCACTAGAATGTCTCAGGAAGATTAACTTTTATAAACCATTCAGTGTAAAGGACAAAAAATTGTCAAAATCACATTCCAATTTCAACTAAAATTCAAAGCCATAATGTTGCTAAAAAAAATCTGTTATTAATAACATGTGACAGCAGCTATGTCATATGACAAAACATGAGTAGATGACAGTTCCGACAGTTTAATATTAGTACAGATGTTTAGAATATAAGTCTCTATATCAAAGTAGAAATTATATATTTTTTCATTAATGTAATTATTACATTTTAACTCTCAGTTCCCTGGTATGTTCTCAAATTTGTTCCCAAGAAATATTTTAGCACTTCAGGACTATTGAGGGGAGTTAATATAATGTATTGCTAAGTGTTTAGCATGGATTGTATATTTCTTCAGTTTTCATCTATGTCCTGACACAAACCACATCAGTATTACAAATAATTTAATACAACAACCACACTAAACCTGAGATACTAAATTCTCATCAGTTTTATTTTACATGCTTCTACAAAGCAGCACGCATTATTTAAAAGTGGTTTTGCCACTTAGGGTCTAAACTAAAATCTATAGTTGTTTTTTTTTCCTGCCATAAGTAGTAATCAAAACAATAATATGCATGAATTTTTTTTTTATTTCTAAATTATAACTGCCCAAGTCAACTAAAGACAGATGTGGCTTACACAGTGGTATTATTACCTTACAGAGAACATGAATATATGCTTAAAGAGGGTAAGACAGACATAAATTATCAGGTTTGTGTATAAAACGTGGATTCGAAATCATGATGGTCCTGTCACTGTATTTTCATAGCATCATAGAATCCTTTAG